CAGCATGGGCCACTAGAGGAATGGAGACCTAACCACTTGCCCTGAGTATCTCCATCTTACTTGTCCAAGGGGCTGTTAGGGTGGGGCTTCCCACAGATGCTCATCCAAGCTTCTCCATCCTGTGTCCTCCTGACACCCTTTGGGTTTGAATTCTCAATCTGTTTGCCATGATTTAAAAAAGTCAGCTGAGCATCATGAAGGGCCAGGACCATGTGCACCTTGTTTATAACTATCTTCCCACTTGGAGCATGGCTTGTGACACACAGAAGATGCTGGAAAAAATGTCTGAATAAAAGGCTGACAGATGCAATACCAGGAGCTAGCATAGCATTTATTGAGCACTTATCTTCACAACAGCCTTGTGCCTTAGGGGGTCATTATCAATATTCCCATATTTCTGGTGCTGAAAAGCCAAGTCTTAGGGACCAATGTCACCCAACAGCAGAACCTGTTGAAGGAGCCCAATAAACATCGCTAAGCTGATGATAGGGGAGACAGAGCAGTGTGCTGGTGCATGCTGTAGACTTCAGTCTGAGAGCCAGCTCATTCGTTCGTTCGCTCACTCATTCATTCAATAATTATTTATTAAAGCTCAGCCACTGTAGGCAATGGTAGACACAGGGAACAGGAACAGCCCCACTTGCAGTTGTGCCATCAGAACCAGGATAGGGAAAACCCAGGGGTCTGTGGGCTGCCAGAGGTAGTGTCCAAACCAACAAGAAGGACAGGAAGCCTTTCTGATTTTTCTTTTTCCAGTACTGGGGATTGAATCAGGGCCTTGCACTTTCTAGGCAAGCACTCCCTCTACCCCTTGAATCAAACACCGAGCCCTACAGGAAGCCTTCCTGAACGGGTGGGCGTGGAACAGCAAGCAGCCTGGGGCTGGGCAGACAGCCTGGGAGATGCTTGGGGTGGGGATGGCTTGATGGGAGTGGCACCAGCTTGGCACTGGAAAGCTCCACTCTGCAAAGTTCCAACCTCCCTGCTCTTGCCCAGCCCTTTGGATGACAGACCTCTGTGAGGACCTGAGTCACTCTGCCCTGTCCCCCAGGCCTGGAACTTCTAGCAGGCAGGCTTAGGCCTCTTCACTTCTGAGTTGTAGACATCTAGACCCAGGCAGTGAAAGGCAGGAAATCTGAGCTAGTCTAGGCAAAGTCAGGAGCTATCTCTGCCCTGTGGTCCTGAGCCTCTTCCCTTCTGCAGGACTCAGTTTACCCTATACATCACTGGCAGTACTGGAAGTGGATGTAAGCCTTTCAGGTTTGGACATCTGCAGTAAGGGTTAAAAAAAAAATCCAGGGCATCTGATGGGCCTTTGACTCATTGGCATCCTACTTTGTCCCCTTGGCAGATGTGTGGAAGGGAGAGAAGAAAGAAATTGCCCCTAGGACAATAACTGCCCACCCTAATTGCATGCTTAGTGACAGAATGCCACCAACACAAACAGGCCAAAGGTTCAGGGACCTATTTCTGCAGCAGTGGGGATAGGCCACATGCTCTTCTCACTCCCTAGCCCAGCCTCCTTCACTCTTTCTCCAGAAACCCTAGGGACACAAGGCTGGGATGTGTCTGGTGTGGGTGAGTTGACACTTGGGAGGAAGATCCAGGACTCAAGTCCTTTAACCACAGATCCCTGGCCCTCCACTCCTCACTGTCTCTCTGTGCCTCAGGCTTTCCCCCTGTTTAAAGCTTACCAATGGTTTCTATGGGATCAGGAATGCAATCCCAAGTTTCCCCCCTCCCCGTGGTCTTCAAGACTCTTGCCATCCAACCTCTCCCCACTCACCTTGTTCTTGCTTCTGGAAAATGCCATCTCTTTCCTACCTCGGGGCTTTTGCCCTTGCTGGCCCTCTGCCTGGAATGCTCTTTGCTCAGACCTTAGAATGGCCAGCTCCAGGGTACCTGTCATTTAAGGCACTGCTCAAATGCTACCTTCTCAGAGGGGTGTTCCCTGATCCCCTAAGAATATCAGCCCCTCCCATGCATTATTTGCTGTCATAGCTCCCTGTGCCAATCATGGCCCTTCACCAAACTATGATGATTGACAGTTGCTTTGCTTGATGATCATCTTCTCCATCCCCTGGGGAGCTCCAGACAGGAGGGCTGAGCCCCCAACACCTGCTGCATAACGACTGTTCGAGAAATGTTTGTTGAATGAATGAGACACAAAAAAGTATCAGCAATGCTCATCTTCCTCCTTGAACACTTTGCCGTCTCTGTGAAGGAGAAAATGGCTTTATCATGCACCTGTTATATGGCAGATGCATTCACACATATGATCTTCTTAAATCTTTATATCCATGACATGCTGCCTATGCTACAGATGAAGTCAGAATTTGGTGACCTGCCTGCTATCATCCAGCAAAAGGTGGACTAATGGGTTCATTCATTTGGGAAGCCACCACGAGGGACCCGTGAGCATGAAAAATGCGATGGAAGATAGTAGTTGGGATTCAATTCCAAGTCTGTTTGACTTGGAAGCCCGTGTTCTTCTCATTGCATGTACTGTACCTTCTGAAATCCCAGAACTCAGCCCAAGATTGACAAGCAGGTGTTTAGGATCCAAAAGGCAGGCAAAGACCTGGACTGGATGGAGAGGTGGTCTTGCCTAGTGGTTATTGAAGTGGATCCTGAGTTTAAATGGGGACCTCACACCTAGGCAATAGGGTGCCCTTGCTCAGCGTGCCCCTTAGCATTACCTGCTAGAAACTATTGCTCTCAGGAAGGGATCAGCTGGAGCAATAACTGCACATCAGAAAAGTCAGCACTGGGCTTTCCTAGGGCAAGTAGTTCATAGGTAATACCTTCCCTCTGACCCCTCAGCAGTTACTTCTTTTCTTCTTTCCTCTTTTTTTCTTTCTTTCTTTTTCTTGAGACACCATTTCTCTATGTAGTCTAGCCTGGCCTTGAACTTGCAACATAGCCAAGGCCAGTCTCCAACTCCCAATCCTCCTGTCTCAGTCCCCCAAGTGCTGAGATTATAGGCACACATCACCAGGCTGGCACCCAGTGGTCACTTCTTTAAAATAGGTATGGCAGTCTAGATCCAAAAAGAGCTCTTGGGAAGAGAAAGAGGAAAAATGACTGTGGAGTTGTTGGTGTATATAAAGAAACATGGAAATGTAAATTATCTAAAAATAATCTCCTATGTGAAAGGAAGAGAGAGGTTGGGACTTGGAAGACCTCTTAGGTTCTTCCAGCACTTATTGGCACCTACTGTGTGCCAGGTGCTTTGCTAGTGTCTGGAAACACAGGGATCAATCAGATGTGGGCCCTGAGCATCTGGAGCTCCTGTCTGCAGGGGAATTGAGCCAGGTACCAGAGTGTGGGGCTCCTTCCCAGCCGGCTGAGAGAGGAAAACCTGTGTGATATGGTAGCAGGTGCCAGACAGAACTAAGCAGAAATCCACTCCTCCATCCCATGACCTTGAGCAGGTCAGGCCACCTCTTTATGCCCCAGGCCTTCATCTGTAGAATAGGGATGTCCCTCTGCCTCTCAGAGCTGCCAGGACATGGCACACAGTAGTCACAAGGACTTTGGGATGGGGAGCCAGTAGTTGCTAGGCAGAAAATGGTCCTGCACTGCCCAAGATCTGGGGATCTGGGGCTTGTCCACAAAAGTGGCTTGGAGATGGGGATGGACCCCAGGGAACAGTAGGGAGAGAAGCAGCAATTCCTCTTAACCTGTTAAGAAGGGAGAGCAGAAATACTGAGGAATTTGCCTGTCTCTTTATTTATGTCGGTAATTTCATTGGGGGCGGGGAGCAGTGCTACTCAAGGTCAGATCTGCCCAGGTGGGAGGTGGGTGTGAGGCCACCTAAGTTTATTCAGCAAGCTTTTCTAGCCAAAGTGCCCCCAAGAAAGCAGCGTGTCCCAGGATGGGTTTTAGGTGTGTCAAGGTCTTCTGAAGCATGGTGATGTTGGCAGTGGGGCAGCGAACTACTTGACTTCTATGGGGCCTGGGGCTGCCCCAGAGCTATGGGACCCGAAGAGGCAAGGCTGGCCAAACTTAGGAAAATTCGGGGTGAGGCAAAAAGAAAGGAAGTTTGGAGGCCCAGAAAGGCGGCGGTTTGGGGTCCCCTAGGGGAACACTGCCCTTCGGGCACCGGCTGATGCGAGAGAGGTCATGCTAGTTCCTGGCCTATACCACTCGGGCTGGGCTAAATCCGGTGGGGTGACCCCAAAGAAAGGGGTGCGGGATGACTGGGCCAAGATCTGTGCCCTACTTCCCGCGGGACAGCCGGCTACGGGAGAAGCGCGGCCTGCCAGGCTCCGGGTCCGGCCGGCCAGATGGAACGCGGTCTCTGGGCTGGGCACTGCGCGCCTGCGGCTGTTGCCCTCACGGCGGCTGCGGGTGCGGCAGTCCCGGTGCCCCCAGGGGCCGGGCCAGGCGGGGGCTGGGCCCAGCGCACGGGCGCGGGAGGGAGGGGAGGCGGGCGGCGCGCAGGCTGCGCGGCTCTAACAGGTGGGATCCCGCGGCGTGGTGGAGGCGGGCGCGGGAGGAGGAGGAGGAGGAGGAGGAGGAAGAGCAGCGGCAGCGGGAGCCTGAGCAGGAGCAGGATGAGCCTCGCAAGCTGACAGCCACCGCTGCCGCCCGCGCCCAGGCTCGGTCTCGCTCCCCGCGCCCGGGGCTGCTCCCCTCCTCCCGCCTCCCCCGGCCGCCCGCGGGGCGGCCCGCCCCCTCTGCACCTCCGGGCCCGAAGCTGCCTCCATCGCTCCTGCATCCCGGCCGGGGGGAGGAGGAGGCGGAGCAGGAGGCGAGCCGGAGCCGCCGCCGCCAACGCCGCCGCCGCCGCCGCCGCCGCCCGAGCAGGACAGAGCGCGCCGCAGCCCCGCGCGTCCGGCCGCCGCCCGCGCCCATCAAGCAGCCGCGCCGGAGCCACACCGCGGGACAGCCCCGGCCGCGACGCGTCCCGGCCGGCCGGCCCAGCCCAGCCCAGTCCCAGCACCGGGCGGCCCGGTGGCCGGCCCGCCCCCGAGGGCGCCGGGCGCGGCGGGAGGATGCCGAAGCCGACGCTGCTGCTGCGCGGGGGCTGGGAGCGCGAGCGCAGCCCCGGGGACTCGGAGCTGGGCCGCCAGTTCCGGGACTGGTGCCTGCGCACCTACGGCGACTCGGCCAAAACCAAGACAGTGACACGCAGCAAATACCAGCGGATCGCCGAGGTCCTGCAGGGCGGCGGCGGGACCGGCGCGGGCAGCGGCCCCGCGGCGGGCGAGAAAGGCAAGTTCCAGTTCTGGGTGCGCTCCAAAGGCTTCCGCCTGGGCAGCGGCCGGGAACCCAAGATGGGCCAAGTGGTGTATGTGCCGGTCAAGACGGGCTCGGTGAGTGCGCGCGCGGCGGCCGCGGGCCGGTCCCGCGCCGGGGTTCGGGGCGGGCGGGGGCGGGATGGGGGGTGTGGATGTGTGTCCGAACGTGTGTTCCTGAGGCTGTCCTTGTGTCTGGCCCACCCGAGGCGCACGCGTCCCTGTTCACCCGCCCTCCCTGGCCCGCCTGGGCAGCGCTCCGGGTTTGGGGTGTCCCTGCCCCCCTCTGCGCCGCTGCCCGGGCCATGGCCGTGCCGAGCGGGCTGTCCCGGGCTTCTCACCCCAGCGTGTTCCGTCCTCCCGTCCCCTCCCCCCGCCAGCAGGCGGCTGCTCCGAAGCCCGAGCCTCCCCCCGCCCCCCCCCGCCCGCCCCGGGGCTGCCTGTCCCGGGCGCCTAGCGCTCCCGCCCCCGGGCCGGCTGGGCGGTGTGTGGTGTGTGTGTGTGTTTGTGTGTGTGTGTGTGTGTGGAGGGTGGTGCCGCGGGGGTGGGGGAAGCAAGAGCAGCCACGGGACAGGGAGTCCGCTGGGCCTCCCAGCGCCCAGGGAGGGGGCCAGCCCGGGCACTGTCGCCCCGACCCCACCCGGCGCTGGCCCGGGGAGGGGCGGCAGGAGCCGCAGCCTGGCGCAGGAGCAGCCTCCCGCGGGTGGGTGGGGCGCCCCCGCCGTCCCCCCACCGGTCCGGCGCTCCCCCCTCCCTGGGACGGGGGCGGCCTGACCTATCCATCCCCTCCCCTTCCCCGTCCCCCGGGCCGGCCCGGTCCGGGCGGGGTGGCGTGGGGGAGGGGGCGGGGAACCGCAGCCACGGAGAGGGAGGAGGCTGGCGGCCGGGCGGGGGCGTCCCCTCCGGCCCGGGGCGCCCTGGCGAGGGCGTGCGGCGCGGGCCCCGCGGCTCCCCCGCCGGGACCTCATTGTTCTGCAGAGGGTGGGGGCTGGGGGGGGCAGCCGTTCCTGGGGCGCTGCTGAGCTTTGAACTTTCCGTCGCCGAGACCCTCCATTAGTGCGTTGCGCCCCCAGCCTGGCCGGGCCACGGTTGCCTCCCTCCCCCCCCCCCCCCCCCCCCCGCCCAGCTCCCTCCCCAGCCTCGCCCGGCCGGAGCGCGAGAGCCGGGCCGCCCCGCGCCGGCCTCCCTCCCTCCCTCGCTCCCCCGCTCTCCCCTCCGCGCTCCTCCCCCGTCCGGCCCGCCCGCCCCGCGCTCAGCCCTGTCCCCGGCCGGAGCGGGCTCTTCACACACAATTGATTCGGTCGTTACGAAAAGTGCACTTGTCCCCTCCCCCTCCCCCGCCGGCGGCCGCCCGGGCCCGGCCCGCAGGGTGAGGGGGCCGCGAGGGAGGGAGGCGGGAGCCGGGGAGCCGATCCGGAGGCGCCTCCCCCCGCGCCCAGGGGACGGGGCTGCAGGCCGCGGGGAGTGGGGAGCCTCGAGCGCGGAGGGCGGGCGGCCCATCTGCGAGGAGCGCTGATAACCGCGCCGCTGCCGCTGCGGCCGCCAGCAGCCCATCTGCGCCGCTGCAGCCTCCGGCCGGCCGGACGGGGAGCAGGGGGCAGGCCGAGGGGCGCGCCGGGCAGGGGTCCCGGAGCGCGAGGCTGGGGCAGGGTCCCTCCGGCGAGAGTCAGAGAACCTCCGCCCCCACCCGCCGAAACCAGTGGTGTACCCCAAACGCAGGGAGTCTGGGTCATTGTCCTGTCCTCTGATGAGTCGAAGACCCTCCCCCAACCCAAATCATTGCCCACTTGCCCTTATGAGGAGTAGGAGACATTGCCTCTCCAGCCGGTCAGTCCTCCCCACCCTGCCAGTTTGGTACCCATCTGGGATCTTTCCATTTTGGGTCAATATCCTCTCCTGAAGGTGGCTTTTCCCAGGACAGTGAGCCACTAGAGGGTGGCTGGGTCCTGCCCTTTACTTTGGATCAGTGCCCTCTGCCCCCAGGGCTTCCCAGGTCAGCATCCTGCACCACCCCTCCTCCTGGTTATCCCTCGGGAGCAGCTGAGAGTCTTGGCCCAACCCCCTTCCTAGTCTGAGGCCAGAGTCCCCAGTCCTGCCCCTGGAGTTGGGGGTGATGCCCCACACCTGGCAGTTAGCTTACTGGCTCTCTGTGTGGGTCAACTTCTCCCCTAAGCAGTGAGCATTGTGAGGCACTCAGTCTGTCCCCTATCCACATAGCTGTCAAGGCAGGGAACCCCTCTACCCCCTTCCAGGCCACATGCAGAAACTGGGTGTTAGGCCTGGGCTCAGGTCCTGCCAGCTCAGCTAGTGGCTTCAGATGTTTTGTGAGGTCCACTGGGACCCGCCCTGCCTGCCTCTGGCAGCCGGGACCTCACAGGCCTCCACCCTGGCTCTCAGACCAATAATAAGTCCTCCCCAAGGGGCCACCTGCCTGCTAGGCAGAGAAAGGGGACCCAGGCCTCCCAGCCCAGGCTGCCAGGAGGACAACAAACACAGCAGAAGTGCCCTCCTGTGACAGCCTGCCCCTCGAGCTCCCACTCCCGCCTGCTTGCCTGGACTGCCTGTCCCCAGAGAGCCTGTTAGTTACCTGCCACTCGACCAGCCAACCGGAGCCAGCCACAGGAGATGGTCCAAGTGCTGCCACCCCCGTCACCAAGTGCCTTCCTGGGTCTTCGTTATTATTTTTATTTTCCTTTTCACTGATCTAAAAGGCACAAATCCTGCTGGGAATTCTGGGCCAGCCACGGCCTCTTCCTGGAAGGGACTGAATGGGACCTTCTTTGAAAGGTGCAAAGGACATCCCTGCCTTCAATGGAGCGTGCGCCGTGTGTGTGTGTGTGTGTGTGTGTGTGTGTGTGTGTGTGTGTGTGTGTGTGACACACACTAAAGTTGTCATTACCTGTGGTGCCAGTTGGGAGAGCAGTTGGGAGAGATCCTGTAGTTTTGTCCTGGGTGGGTTTTGGGAAGGTCGTTGGGCCACAGACCTTCATCCAAAGCATTTACTTGGTACCTCCAGGTCTCGTGAGGGCCGTGCGTGATTGGCCTCGGTGGGACTCCTAGCCAGTCCTGGAGCACCCAGCTGGTGGGGGAGGTGGGCATGCCTGAGGATGTGCTAAAGCCTGTGGAGACTCCAAAAGAGGGCAAGTGAGCAAAAATGTCAGGGAAGAGAGGACATTGAAGTTAGGTCACCCAGCAGCAGCTAGTGTCCTGGCCCCCCATGGCATGGCCCCAAGGGTGGCCACAGAGTGTCATCTCTCTTCCTTGCTGCTCTCTGGGGGCCCCTACCTTGGGCCCCTTTGCTTCCCTACCATGGCCATATGTGGTGCAGTGGCTGAGCCCGTCCCTAGTCTGGCCGGCTGTGGGTCGATGATCTGACACCACTTGTCCTGTCCCATCTGGCCCTGAGCTTTTCTGGGTGTGTGTGACAAAGGCTTAATCTGTGGGGACGGGCCAGGGTGGGGGGGGGTGAGAGTATTACACTGTGCGGGGCCTCCTGCAGCTGGGGCCCATGTGGGGGTGGGGCTGGACGGAGGGGGTAAGCCTGAGCTGAGGTGGGGTAAGTCAGGCTTCAGTTTGCAGGTCGTCACAGGAAGTAGAAGGTGCAGGCCCAAGAGGAGGGAAGAGGGCAGGGCGGAGTCTCCACCCTGCTCCTGGGGATAAGATCTTTTTAATGACAAGAGCCAGCCGGGTCTCTGGCTGGGCAAAACCTGGTTAGGATTTATTATTTCTTGTGTTTGGGCTACCAAGCAGGGAAAGTGAACCCCTTTGAGGAGAGCCCCCCCCGCCCAATTCCATCCCCTTTGCCTTTTCCCCCTGGCCACTCAGAGTAGTGCTGTCCTCAGGGCCTGTGAGAGCTACAGGTTATGGCTGGGTGAGAGGAGAGACTGGTCCAGTTGTCAACCCAGAGGACTAGAAAGCCTCAAGGCCCTTTGGAGAAAGGTGGTCTCAGCCCAGCAGCACCATCTTCCAGGAGGCCTCCTGTTGAGGGGGGGAGGCTAGCACTCAACACAGGTCTCTGCCCTCCACTGTGGCCTCTTCCAGTCTGTCACATGCCAGGAATCCTACCATGAGAGCCTCATTTCTCTAGGGGACCCTCTGTGATTGCCAAACTCCACTGTCAACACCAGTCTCTTGAGCTGGACCCCAGGTGTTCCGCTGGCCAAATTGACTAATGGTGGTCTTTTCCCAGTTTGCAGATAGCGTTCATTTAGTGAAAAGCATTTTCACAGTCCTAAGTCTTTCTCCCCAGGGCTTTTGTGCAAACCTTTGGCACCTGCGGCCACTGGTCTGGGCGGGAAAGGGCCTCTGATTTAGCCAGTGTGATCTATGCTGTGACCTTCAGTTAAATACCTTAGTACTTCCTGGTTTTCTTCAAATTATCACCACATCCACCATGTCTGAGTCACCTACTGTGTGCCTATCACCGTGCTGAGCCACTGCTATACCTCAGTTTTGGAAATTACTGCCATCTGTCAGGTGAGTAAACTGAGGCTTAAGAAGAGAGCTTAAGATATTCCGTTGGCCACACCACTGACAGGGCAGGCCTGGAGCCTGGGTACAGCCTTATACATATCTCCCTTCTTATCCTGAGGTGTCTTGCGACCTGATCCAATTTGAAAGTCTAGGTTCTTCACAACAAGCTTTCAGTCCATTACACTTTAGTCTGAATTAGTTTAGAAGAATCCTTCTGGTCAAGATGTCTATAATCACTGGCTGGTGCCAGTGGCTGTGTAAGATGTCTGGGGCTTTCCTGGAGCTTACTAGGATGGATATAGTGGGGAGGAGTCCTCTGGGTCATAGGGGACTTTGGGGAGAAGGTTAACAGTGATGTCTGGTATAGGTAGGCCTTGTTTGAATTTCTCATGAGTGACAAAAGAAGGCTTTTTTGTTAATTAAGCTTCCATAATTTGGACATTGTTGTCCTCGGGACGCTGGAGCTGCCTTTTAGAGCCAGGATGATACTAGACGGTCAGGCTGTGCCTTCCTGGGGCCTCCCCTCTGGTTCCTGGGTCACTCTGTTGGGGCGTGGGGACAGCACGTACTTTTCTTGCTCAGCTAAAAACTGGCACAAACGTCCT